CAGATCCGTTTGCTCTCCAGTACAGACCGGGTTCCCCACGTCCCTGCCAGGTCCCTCTCGTCCCCCTTGTCCTTCCAGCCCCACCTCGTTCTCTGGTCGCCACCAGGTTCTCCCTCTCCCTGCCAGGTCCTACCTGTCCCACTTGTCCCCACCAGCTCCATCTTGCTCCCCAGTCCAAACCAGGTCCCCCATGTGCCCACCAGCACTTCCCTGTTCCCTGGTCCTGACTGGGTCTCCCGTGTCCCTGCCAGTCCCACCTTGTTCCCCACTCCCGACTGGGTCCCCCTTGTCCCCCACATCCCCCCCAGTGCTCCCTTGCTCCCTGGTCCCAGATGGAGCCTCCCCAGTTCCATCTTGTTCTTAGGTCCGTAAGGTGGGCTCCTGTTTCCTCCCCAACACCCCAGTCCCAACCAGACCCTCCAAGTCCCCACAAAGCCCCAGTCCCAACCGGGTCCCTCCTTTCCCTCAGTCTCTTCCTCACCCTCTGGGTGAGCTCAGCACCCCCAAGTCCCCCCACTTGTCATCCCACCCCTAAAACAAGCTCTTTTTCACCCACAGGAGGTGAGCGCATTCGGGGAGGATGGCGAGGGTGACTACCTGGACGACTGGACAGTGGTGTGCAGTGGGAGCTACTGGTCGCGGGACAGCGAGGTGCGCTTCCAGCACACCTCCACCGACGTCTTCCTCTCGGTGACGGGGGAGCAGTACGGGCGGCCCATCCATGGGCAGAAGGAGGTGCACGGCATGGCCACCTCCAGCCAGAATAACTACTGGAAGGTGATGGAAGGCATCTTCATGCAGCCCAGTGAGGTCTTCAAGGCGGAGCAGTACCACGCTGAGTTGTGATGGACAGACACACTGCCTCTAGGTGCTGCCCTGCGGTGTTTGGCACTGCTCAGACAAGGGGGTGGCCCCTGTTCTCATTGGGGTCTGGTGCATGCCAGGACACAGGGCCCCAGTTCCAACACAAAGCAGATCCCAGTGTCATGAATTCATTGTGGAGCAGATCCTGGTGTCCCAAATCTGACCCAAAGCAGATCCCAACATCCTGACCTGACACAAAGCAGAGACCAAGATCCAACATGAAGCAGATCCCCACATCCTAAATCCAGCCTAAAGCAGATCCCAACGTCCAGACTTGACCCAAAGCTGAGTCCAGCATCCCAGACCCAGTGCAAACCAGGCCCCCACCTCCCAAATCTAGCCTAAAGTAGATCTCAGTGTCCAGACTTGACACAAAGCTGAGTCCAGCATCCAAGACCCAGCACAAAGCAGGTCCCCATGTCCCAGATAGCACAAAGGAGATCCAACGTCCAGACCTTACCCAGAGCCTGAGATCCGACATGAAGCAGATCCTCATGTCCCAAATCCAGCACAAAGCAGATCCCAACATCCAGACCTGTCCCAAAGCCAAGCCCAGCATCCAAGACCCAGCAGAAAGCAGATCCGCACATCCCAAATCCAGCACGAACCAGCTCCCTATGTCCCAAACCCAGTACAAAGCAGAACCCAACATCCAGACCTGACCTAGAGCAGATCCCAGAGCAGGTTCCCACGCTCCCCAACCCCCGTAGCTCCTACCGAGAATCCCCGAGCAACCACTGCCCGGTGCCCCATTCCCCTCTCCCCCTTCTGTAGCCCGAACCCCGGTTCCCTGTTGCCATAAAAGCCTCGAAGCCCCGCAGCGTGTGTCTGTTTACACGGGAGGGCTCGGCTCCGAGCGGGGCCCGCTCCCGCTGCCAGCCCGGGAGGGGGCGCTGCTCCT